TTTAAAGTTGTGATATCGTGAGATGTTATATTGCGACTTTATTTTAGGCCTGTGTAAGGCGATAATTAATTCTTTGTGTTATTGTCATTAAGTGGGTAATGAGTCATAAAACAAATAATCTAGACATTTTAGAGGTGGGGGCGCCAAAAATGTCTTTGCTCCCGGGTGCTGAGAACCCTTGCTACGCTACTGCATCATAACGCCCCCACTGTTGAAAGTGCGAACATGTTTGGTGGGACGAGGATTCGAAATCGCGACCCTCAAATTGCGAGTCGAGTGCCCTAACCACCTGGCCATGCTGTGCCGAGAAAGGCTACAGAACGTTTGTATTACCGACACTAACTAAAAGAAGCGAGTCCTATTCAAAACGACTGCCGGAAATCTGATCGGTAAGATAACGCGGGGAAATACATGCAAATAGACTGCCGATTAGATCAAACCAATTAGATGCAGGAGGTACTTGCAAAGAAATCACGTAGCGCCAGTTGGATCATCGTATGAACACACACAAAAATGTGAATAAAAAGTCATGTTTTTGGTTCCCAAATCAGTTGCCACCAGCGAATTAAAAACTAGGTTAGCAGGAAAATGGCAGTATTGTAGAATATCCAGCATACAAACTCTAAATAATTATTGCTACCCTGTATAGTCTGGCAGCGTAAACAGTAAATGATGTATAATGTGTGCAAATGGTATGACGTTACAAGAGAACTCACTTACTGATTTAGTAAGATTTATTGAAGTAATAGCTTTGTTGAAAGATATTTTATAAGTGTTAACCAGATTGCATAAACTAAACTGTGTCTGAATGTATTTCATGCAATGTTTTAATTGCTAATCTGTTTGCTGTGGCGTCAGATTTAATGAATCTTATTGAGGGCTTAATCAATAAACAAATAATTTGATGTTTTTAATGAAGCTTTTCGAGATAATTCTGGTACTCTGTGTACTCCACTCGCATAACCTGGAATCGAACTCCAAAAAAAATCGACTAGCCTACCGGCCTCCGATTACACCAGCATAATGTGACTCGAACAACAGGTAATACACTTACTGTAAACATTGACGTAGACACAGTAATTCGACTTGCAAATTTCATCTATAATACTGTTTTTGTTCTTAAAACATGCAGTGAGAAATGGACTATAGGCGTTTTGTTATTAATTTGTTTTGAATTTCACGCAAAGCTACTCGAGGGCTATCTGTGTTAGCCGTTCCTAATTCTAAAGTAATAGCCTACAGAGAAGGCAGCCTGTCAACACCACCCACCGCTGACTCTTAGGTTATTCTTTACTAACGAATAGTGGGATTGGCCGTTACATTATATCACCCCCACAGCTTAAGGGTGAGCATGTTCTGGAACGGGATTCTGATCCTCGACCTGCAGATTACGAATCGAGTGCCCTAACCGTCGGGCCATTCCAGGCTGAAGGTATTTTATATTAACATTAACATTACAAAGTAAAGCTTCCCCTGCAAAGATGTATTTATACGGTTAGTCATAATTTGGTATTAAAATATGAAAATGTTATGTCAGAACGAATAATAGCTAATTAGTTTTTATTATCAAAATCCGAAAATTTTATTTTGCCAGACGTCAGTTTTTGAAAAATTCCAGCAAGCTCCGTTTTTACAACCAGCAATAACTTATCGATAACGTCACGACAATTCAAACTCTGTTTAGCAGTATTAAGTTTCGGTACACCATAAGGAGGGATGATGATCATCTCTAATTAACTTTAGTGGCATAAATATAGCAGCGCTATCTGTCATGAAGTACGTACAGAGAAAATAGTGTCGTGTACACGCAATTATTTTCTTTCACTTTTATTTTCGTAAGGTTTAGAATAATCATTCCTATACTTATCAGATTAGACAAATAGCTCATGTGATTTAAAAATTAAAACTTTTTATGGATTTGCTTATGGTTAACTTTCTTATTTGAGTGGTGCTAAAATAAACAAGAAAATACGCATTTCTTTTTAATTCACATACATTATTACCACTGTTAAAAAAACAAAGAAAAACAACTTTGTTTTAATACACTGTTTAGGAACTACAAAAACAACAACAAAAAAAGTACTGAGACCATTAGGTACATTTACTAGGGCTGATATGATAGTAGTCGATACGTTACGTATCTAGACACAACGGTTTGTTACTAAGTTTGACAGTCTTGATAATAAAATCCAATTAGAAACATATGAAGTAATTCTACAAAGAAAGAAACAAGGGATAATTCAGATTTATTTTCTATTTTTATGGTGTTTGTTTGTTTTCAATGTCGCGCAAAGCTACACAAGGGCTATCTGCGCTAGCTGTCCCTAATTTAGCGGTGTAAGACTAGAGGGAAGGCAGCTAGTCATCACAACCCACCGCCAACCCTTGGGCTACTCTTTTACTAACGGATAGTGGGATTGACCGTCGCGTTATAACGCTCCCACGGCTGAAAGGGCGAGCATGTTTGGTGAGACGGGGATTTGTACCCGCGACCCGCAGATTGGGAGTCGAGCGCCCTAACCACCTGGCCACGCGAGGCCTATTTTGTTCATGGTGGTTACGAGGCTGGTCAAACTGACCGACTTCAGATAAAATTATAGTAGTAAATACAACAGGTAAAATGTGAAGATTTGTCAAAAAGGTTGGAAATTTATTTCGGAGGTTTTAGAGATTACACAAAAGAAATTTATTAATTTTTAGATGGAGAAAAGTATTTTTCATCTTAACATGAAAATCGTTTTACACGGAACAGTGAATACTTTGACTCCATATATTAAAACATTAATTTTTAGCAAACATACTTTATTGGAATTTTTAATTTTTTCTTTACAAAAGTCTTATAATGTTTACTTGCCAAATTTCGTGAAGATACGTAAACCGTATCGTATGGGACGATGTATCGATACAATCATATCACGGCTTCACGCCGCACTCCTAGCATTTACCCACAGTTATCGTGACGACAATAAACCTTCTACTAAAAACGTTCTATGGTCATGCTCAATAAATGAACAACAACAAATCTAAAAGAACATAATTATCTGACTGGAAATCGCTCCTACTCGTGTGATTAAAACAAATTATACTACTTTTTTATGCATTCATTTATGGCTAACCTACATTGATTAATGTGGTGATGCTAAAAGGAACATTCCATTAAAACACTCATATGTATTTGTAACTAGCCTCTTTTTATTACATATTGCGGGTTATTAAAACACTCCACTGGAATACACGTATTTATTTTAAACTAACTTATACAGTCATCTTAATTCCGTACAATATCCAAAACATACTTTCATCTACTGATACATACAACATCAATAAATTTACACTTTCACGACTTAACAATCCAGTCTCTAATAGGAACTAATTAAAGACCCAACCAATTCAGAACAATCAACGAAACGCATCCGCACATAACCGATTTAAGTCAAACTTATAACAATGTATCGAAAATCTACATACATATAACAACACGGAAATCAATGCCATTTACCAACATTAACAGATATACGTCTATACATAGCATAAATTTGAAATTACAATAAATGATATCACTGATACTTTTAATCTAAAACACAACAAAATGTAAAAATCACACAAAGAACTTTATGCGCTTGACGTTTCGTTTGTTTCTTACGTTATTCTGTTTTAACCATTTGGTATGCTCTTACCTATTCTTATGTTCTTATGATGAGTTTCAGTTCTTTAATAATTTCCTTCTTTTTCATCATACAATTTCAGGATTATAACTCTTAATTTCTGAGAGTCCATAGAAATATGCACAAACTTTCTGCTTTCTATCCAACTATATCTGTTGCAATATCTCTCTTAATAAATCCCTCTGTAAAATGACCACCGTTTTAATCTAGTCAAAAACAAAATCTTGTAACACACTGTATATTCTGAAATTTCACTACACACTCTATTAATGTAACATTCTTGCATAATTAAAATTATGTTTACTAAACCTAAGATGAGTTAAATGGCACTTACTATTTTTATGTTTAATGACCTACAGAATCAGCTCGAAGAGAACGTTATAGTAGTATCTAAAGCAATATCTTCAAATGTAGTGGGAGCTTTTTTTTCTCTATAAATAACTATTTTCGTATGATGAATATACTATTGTCATGCATGGTTAACTTTCGTTTATTTTGTAGCTTGAAAAATGGATTTGTAGGCATTGTAATATCATTATTTTTAACAAACAGTTCAACTGCCAGAAACACTTCAGCGGAGTAGTTATGGGTAGAATAAAATGACCCAGTTCCTTGACAATATCCTGTTACAACCATCATACTTTTATATTATAAATATTTCTGCCTTACCCTCTTAATCTATTATACAGAGAAAACCTTATAGATGCCATCAACATCAAGGGAGAAGATCTGCTCTATTCCTAATAGTATAAATTAACACACAACAGCTACTCCAAGTAATATGTATCTTAGTACTCAAATATATCTTGATGGAGATCAACTCCTTAACCAATCAGTTCCACTTAATGACAATGATCACAAATTTTATTTAAAGTTTTATAACCCAAGAACCCGCTTAACATATAAGTAAAACATAATAAGATAAAAATTAGTTAAATTGTTCAACCAAGACAATGTAACAAAGGCCAAACTTTTAACAGGAATAAAATAAAAATAAATCAAAGAAATCTTGAGGAAAGCAAACTTTGTTTTGTCCACGCAACTATAAACTAATACCACAAATGACTACGAAACAAGTTAATTGATACCGTATGTATTAAATGTTTAAGCATGAAGTGTTTCTATTAACATTTATTTTTGTTTCAAATAAAATTAGAAAAAATATACTAGTAACATTTTTTCAAACTTTAAAGAAATAAACATTAATTTTAACAGTTCACATTCAGAGGGGGAAAAAAGACTACAAGATAACTACAACAAAATAATTTTTGTTGTTTAGTTAATATTGATTAAGTATGTCATAAAATTATGTGATTAACAATAAAGTTAAAGGTGTCAACAAAATTCTCATGTTTAAAAATCCCACTTCTGCAGTAAGCTACTAAAACGTTTAATAATTGTAGGTAGCTCTTCAGAAACATTGATATTTAATAAAATTAGCCAAATCAGGTACAGTCAAAAAGGACATTAGTTTCCTATCCTTCTTTTAATGAACAAAAGAAAATGTAATCAATTAAAATCTATCTCGTTAGTCACATTAATGTACATTCTATATATATAACAGCCGATGAAATCAAAGAACCATATTTCTCATTAGATCACAAACATCAACATCTGATCTCCAACTTTAAATTCAAATGGGAAAACAAGATAAAAGAGGAACCTGCCCCTTGCCTAACAAAGTTAGAAGTAATCACAGCACAACGTATGGAACATTCTATTAAGGACAACAAAGTGATCTAACTTAGCAAACCCATATACCTTCACAACTGAAATTACCAATGGAACTAGAAACTTACTCTTCAGTCATAAATATACCGGCTAATAATTTCTTATTTTCAGGGGTAGGGTAATTTGCTAAGGTAATTCTGTACACAGTGCACACATTTGTTTGTGATCAGAGATGTCTGCTACAGATATGCATGAGTAGTAGAACTAGATGAAAATGTAAAAGAAAAGCTAAAATCCTTCAAGTTTTATTACGGTCAGGAAACTTGGATCATACTGATGTGACGACTGAAAACCTCATGTGATGGAGAAAAAAGAGAAGCTGGTGATGACCTTTGACTTCTCTGACCAATGGCAAAATCTGACATGTCAGGACAAGAAAAATTATTATATTTCCAATCTGTCTGTTCACATTCAAGGCTTCCACAGCTGAAACGATTCTGAAGCCGCTCCTTTCGCTCAATCTGAGACAGTTTCATTTTACGCATATGAGGCCCTCCACCATCAAACTTGGTGCATTTCATTTTATTTGCACTATTAAAGTAGTCTGGGCTAGGGGAAGGATTAAACCATTCTGCAATAACTGGACATGACTGGGCCCTATACAAACCCTCAGTGTTCTCGTTTTTCTTTTTTGATTCTCTCAAAAGAAACCAGTTATCATTTGCAAGAAGTTTATGACTTTCTGAGAGCATTTCCAACACTGTTTTCTGTAAGCTTTGGTGTCTTCTGTACTTTTCTTCAGTGAAGTTTTCCTCACAACTTTCTCCCTTACTAGTGATAAACTTATCAAGACTCTTTTCAGGTTTTCTATACGGGATGCCATCATGAGACAACTGCAGAGGTGCTTCTATTATGGAAGGCGAAGCTGGAACACCTGAATCATGTCTTTCAGGAAATACCAAGGTGGTCCTGACTGCATTACTTCTTTTGGGTAAAAAAACTTCATCTGCAAAGCATTTAAAATAAAAACCTATCATAAATCCAATTTATTTTTAAACTGGAGTTATCCTAAACTTTGTTGTTTACATAAAAAAATACTACAAGCAATATAAATCAATCTTTTTCAAATCACAGCTGTGGTGGTGTTGCATTTTTTTAGTGCAAATTCACATAATGGGCTATCTATGCTGAGTCCATTGCAGGGATCAATTCCCCAGATTTTAGCAATGTTAGCCCATAAACTTACCATCAACTCCAAAGGAGACCACAGTTGTGGAGATGAAAGATATAGCATGTCAACTATAGTACAAGTTAAAACTATATACTAAACAATTACCTATTCAAACATCACTACTGATCAGATCTTGTGTTGAGTCAACAATTTTTTTGCAAACCATTGTTTGTAAATTTATAATGTTTTAGTTTTACTTATTATTAAAAAAAGAGCATTCTTAAATAACCTAATTTGAATATTATGTAGTTGTGGCTTATGCAGTTCATGTTTTAAAACACCTATTTGTTGTAACTTAAGATATTGTATAAAATCATGATTTAACAAATGATACCCTTATAAAGGGATTGATCATATTTAAATAATTAAAAGTGAAGTAATTAAGTTACAAACAATTTCAACATTTTTCATAGTTAACCTTCCTATACATAAAAGGCCAAACTGATTCAGATAAATTTTAAAGCCTAAAGTTTAAAGGTTACATTTGTGTGCCAAATAATGTTAAACAGAAAAAACAAAACAAAAAACAGTATAAGTGTAGAAAGAAAGAGAAATACCATTGTTAGGCAAGTCCTCAATATCCATGAACTCTTCCATGAGGTGTCTTTCAGAAGGACTTGGAGCATCTTCACTTATTAACTGTATATTTGGATTTTCCTTTGGAGACACAATCAGCTTACTGAATTTTTTGTAATCTGTGTTAATAGATGAGCTTTCTTTTGTTACCTGCACTGTCCGTAAAACATTTGTAAATTTTCTTTCATATCCGGATTGGTATAAAGGCAAAAATGCTAATTTCTGACTTTTACTGCTAAGAGGTGCTGCTTCTGAATATTTGAACCCTTTGGTATTATGTTCATCACTTTTGGCATCTCTGACTGATAGAAAAGGAGCAGAAATAGTTTGTTTTGAATAGTCAGACATTCTGTGATCTTTGAAATCATAATGTTTCACTTCCAATGGTGTATTTGCTTCTTTTTTAAAGGGCTTTTGACAGTAAACTAAGGAGGATTTATTTGGGATTGCTTCAAGAATAGTTGCAAAAGAGGTAAATGATTTTCGTCGAGGACAAGGTAAGTTTAAAATACCTGATGATGAAAAGCCAAAATCTATGGTGGGTACAGGCTGACATCTTTTACCAAGTTTTTCTTCTGTATCTATGCCAGTCTTGGTAGTTAGTGTTGATGTGTATACATTAGTTGAAAATTGATAACCAGAGATGTAAGTTGTATCCATGAGTAAGTCACTGAGCTTTGAGTCATCTGTATTACTTTCTTCACTTTTGACATGAGTGTCTATCAACTGATTCTCCATACAGCTAAAGCTGTGGTCAGTATGAATGCCTGGTTTTCTCCTTTTACTGCTGTCTTCTACAGCTCTTCCAGATTGCTTTCTTTTGCCAGTTTCTTCTGGGTCTCTTTCATGGTTCTCAAAACTAAGCTTAGAAAGGGCAGTAGTTGGAGACTGGTCTTCATTAGATGAGTTCTCCCCACTAAGGGATTCACTTCCAGGTTTAGGCAGACTGAGCCTAAGGCTATGTTGCTTTTCCCTCCGACAAAAAGATCTTTTATCGTTCCCATCTGGTGGTGCAGACATTACCTCAAGTTTAGATTCCAGTAAGCTGTCCTTGAGTAACTGTTTCTCAAATTCAAGTAACTGACCCAAAAAGTTGAAATTTGGAGAAATGGTCACTCTTTTTGACTTCACATATCTAACAATAAGAACAAAACTAGTCAAATACTCATTTACGTCTTAACTGTACACTGAAAATGTATATTTTAAACTTAAATGTATACATGGTGGGGCAAAAGTTACAACACAGTCTGTACTAAAGAAAATATTAGAAATGCAATTGAAACCAATTTAATTATTGTTTATTTCATAGTAATAGTTAAAAATTAAACCAAGCTTTAAATGAAAGCAAATCTGGTTTTGAATTGCAGAGTATTTCAATGCCAGTTCACAATCAACAATTATCAATGCGCAGAATAAATAATCATTAGTTAACATGAGAAAGCTATGGTAGAACTGAATCTTATGCACTCGTTCTTTGAGAAGTGTATAAAAGAATGCCATTACACCAAATAGGACATAAAATTTGTTTACAAACGGACCAGGAAGAGCAAAGTTAATCTTCAGGCACTGCTAAAATTCATATTACTTTTGACAGTTATAATAATAATAAACCTGCTAAATCATTGGGGGAGGGACTTCAGTACTAAACACTTTATGGGGGAAGAAAAGAAAAAACTTAAGTACTTTATGGTGAAAAAAAAAACATACCAAAGTACCTTACTTGTATGCTGATATGTCTCTAAGCAAAAAATACTTAAATATGCAAAAAAAGTGATTAAACTTTCTAGCACATAATAAGAAATGATTAAAACATGCTTTAACTCTGGTGCAATGTTTCACACTGACGTATTTCATGAAATCTGCCAGAAACTTATACAGTGAAGGGAAGAACAAGTGGCCTTAGCAGCTATGCTAAAGGCTTAACACTAGTTCTTGCTAGTGAGGTACCTTCTTTAGCCATTTAAACTAATGGGCCACAATCTCTTACCCTCCCACGTAAGAAAGTGCTGAATGATATTCTGATACATCTAGGATCTTCACTAATAAGCTGCATTTCAAAATCCTCACTAATAAGAACAAAACTCTACAGCAATAAAGATGTATCCATATCTTTACTCAAAAGAAACAAAGAATATAAAAGAAGGAGTGAAACACTATGTCCATCTTGAAACTTCAGTTAAAGTCAAAAACTAAGGTAGAATAAAAGGAATGATATTAAGTTATTTATTGAAATAATTATTATGAGATATTATATCTTATTTGGATTTATCTTACAATTAATTACTGAATAAAAAATATGTGGCCCTTTTAGTGTACTGAAGGACTTTCTCACAAATAAAGTTAAAGCAACTCAAAATGATAATAGGTTCAAGAAAGAAATGCTATAAAACACACAAATTCACGACTTGTATTAACAATAAAAAATTTCATTACAACTTTACTCGATACATTTGTAAAGTAAGCCACGAAGGTCAAAACTTCAGAAATTTTTCACAGATATAATTTAATTTTTGAGTTTTCAAAGAACTAAAGAAGAAATCAGTGAGGAAAATGAATCTTTAAAAATTTTTGAAATTCCAAAAAGTAATACCCTAATAAGCAACTTCCCAAACAAATCAAAAATTGGTCTATTAAGAAACTTTTTAGAAGTTCTACATCAGTAAGCTTCTATAATCTGATGTCCGCAGAAAGAAACTGATTAAAACTTCTTAGAAACAACAAAACATTGTTATCCACAAAAATTAACAATGAAAACTATAGTATTTTTATCAACCAACTAACATGATTCCTTAATGTCAAATACAATGAATGAAAAATCTAAATGTACTCAATTTAACACTGACCTAAAACCCATGTCTAAAAACAAATTATTCAAAATATCATTGAGAGAAAAACTGTAATATATAAACTAATAACTTTTTTTCTCCAAACAATTAACCAAGAGCACCAAAAATCTATGGTCTACCTTACTAAAGTCCATAAAAACCCCACAGCCTTGTCCTCTTACAACTTTTTTTTAACCATAATCTCAGCAAATACTTTAACTGGATACTGGACCTTATGTTTCTAAATATCTATACATTTGAAAATTAAAAAACAAACTTACATTACCATTTATACAACCTAAACAGTAATTATCACTATGCATAGTTTTGATGTTATAAATTTATTATCTCACAATCACTACAAAGCAGCAATAGAACTTAACACACAAGTTGTTTTATAAAACTCAAAAAAGAAAATTACTGTTAAACCAGAACACTTCATCAAATTCTTACAACCTGCTACAGTAATTTGCTTCCATACAATGATTCATATGGCCTTCCCTTACATGGAATCAGCATATGTAATCCTCTATCATGTAGTATATTAACCACCTTTTTTGTACATGATATTGAACAACATGCCACAAACAAATTCATATTGGTTTCAATATATATACAATGCTTTCTGTAGGTTTAGGTTTCAAAACAAAAATTAACAAACACTATTCTTCTAACATGCATAAAACATACATAAGGACATACAAGTCATTGTTGAAAGCGAAAATAACTTCATAATACATTTTGTGTTTGTAAACATTACATGTGCATACACCATATGCAAAATTGGCAACACTGATAATGGAATCACATGTTTAACCCAATGTTTCACTAATAATTACCAAGTCCCCTTCAAAATAGTTATACAAATCATAAGTGAATTCAGAAAAGATGAACATGAAAATATTAACAGGCACACATCCCAAAACCCATATCCAAATACATTGAACCTAATTACTAGCATTATTCCTTTAGTAGAAAATGTTCTTATACAAATCTGGAAAAATTTAAAATCAAAATCATTACCATATTTAAATATTAATCAGACATTAATAAAAATATAGAAGCCTTTCTAGATAAATCTACTATGAACAAACACCCATGCACCTCTCTCTATATTTTTTAATTACCATTTCCTCAGATTATTTACAACCTAACCAAACTCATTACACATACACACAAAGGAAAAACTACAACATTACCCTTACATATCTTGTAGAACAATTGTTAATTAGTAGATCACTATTCCATATACAAAATGAAGTTTAACATGTTATGTTTTAACCTACACTTTGTGTAATTGACAGTGATTGCACCAGTGAGTTAAATGCCGCACAATAAAATAAAATATTAAGAAAGAACCTACAGAAAAGCTGTGACTTTTTCAGATATTTCATGGGTATGCCTACCTTTCAACAGTTGGAACAAGAGAAAAACTAAAAAATCAAGAAACTAGGCAATGAACTACAAATATTATAAGCAATTATTTTTCACTTAAACATGTATTCAAGCCATTTAGAAAAGAAATATGCATATGACAGCTATGACTCCTATTAACACAAGCTGTGACCAACAGAGGCTAATCCAATGGACACTACAACATAACAGTCCAAGACACATAAACTGTAATTGTAAGTACAGGTTAAAACTCCACACTGCAGAAAGTATTACTCTTAAATTGATCTTTTGGAGGATAAGTTGAGTAAAATCAAAAGCTTTATATGGGATATCTATTTGTTTAATACGTGACATAAGCTCTTATAGGATATATATTAAGGGAACATGGATCAAATATATGTAACGAAAATGGATCTAGTTTTCATTTTATTTTAATTTATTATCTTCCAATTTCGGAAATTTTTTTACCACAACTTTCTTGATTTTGACTTAAAGGGTTACAACTAAGATTTTACTTTGCAAACTTAGTAAAATTTCCAGGTTTGAAGAATTGTTAAATTTGGTGCTTGGTTTGAAGTAAAAATATAAAGTACTTAGTTTTGTTACATATTATTTTTAAGTCTGTGTGGTCAATGACTTAACTGACCTAGCCACAAAACTCTCGTGGTGAGTAGGGTGTCTGGACTTCCTACTGTATTAAAAACAAGATCCTATGAAACATGGGCATACAAACTCTCTAACCCTGAGAGCCAACAACTATCCAGGAGGTGGTGTCCCCTACAATTCACTTAAGCTGCTGGGCAGCAGCAGTGGATGATGCAGTCACTGGCAGAAGATTCCATTGGAAACAATGGCAGGAGCCTGGAGATACTAGTCAACTTGATCTCTCCCTATGTAACTCTCAGGCTTCCTATTCACTGTACAGCTGTGCACCACTGAATTAGATTCCTGGGAGCTCAGAGGGTTATGTAAATGGTTGGCATGATCACTGACACACCTTAAACACTAGTGCAGGCATGGTGGAGGTAATTATGGAAGGCTCAAGGAGCTGGAAGCCATTAGTCTAAGCTCTGCACATAGGCAGTTTGGGTGTGATGGTCATGCTGTGCTGACTAGAGTAACAGTAAAACAGGGCAGCTATGTAGATGTCCAGGCATCCTTACTGAAGGACAACTCTGCCTACCTCTTTCTTTGAGAAGGCCCCTAGAAAAGGTGGAGTAAGTAAAGCTCACTCCTCTGCACCCTGGCCAGTTTCCCACAGTTGGTGGGCTTTCATACTTGTAGTCAAAAACATCACTGGCATATTAACTCTTGCAACATTTGAACCATGACAGACATCTGTTTACACAACAGACCTGAAAGAAGAATGGCAATTACTGATTGGGAACTAGCAAAGTATAATATTGAAATTGCAGCACTCCAGGCAATGCGGCTTGCAAATCTGAAAGAAAGGAACTACACCTTCTTCTGGTCTGGGAAAACCAGTGATGATAGAAGGGAGATTGGAGTGGGTTTTGCTCTTCAAAATAAGACAGTTGGCAATTTTAAGTCACTCTACTGCCATCTCAGACAGATTAATGACCTTAAGACTTCCAGTTGACAAAGGCAGACATGTTACTCTCATTCTGCTTATGCACCTACCATCAAGAACACCTAGGAGGCAAAAGGTACATTCTATTCTGATTTGCGATACACACTTGAAATTATTGTGTGTTCAGACAAGTTCCTTCTGATGGGAGACTTCAATGCTAGAGGCAAACTGCAAGACTTGGAAGTATGTTCTGCATATGATTGAAATGTGAAAGGTTACTTCAACTTTGAAGTGAAAAAAGCCTGGCTATTACCAACACATTTTTTAGAATGTCCAACAAATAGTACTTTTCTTGGCAACATCCAAGATAAAAAAAAAAGTATCACCTACTTCACTACATTAGTACCAGAATAATATTATAGGCAACCATTTACTACTTAAACAAATATCACAACTACTTTTTAATCATGTATTAAAGTCATTTAGAAATTCTTAAACACAGTGACATTGCTCACAATAGACAATTGGTAAAATTATTTAGTAACTGATGGGAGATGAAAAAAGTTCCACAAGAATCTAAAGATGCTATCACTATCACTATATAAAAAAAAAGCCTACACATACTATCAACTCAAGTTACATGAGGTGCATATTGCTCAACTTATTTCCTCATTCACATTATCTGCAAACTAACAACAAATTCTTGATATAAAGACAACATTATCAATCATTGGAAAGAGCACTTTCAAGACTTATTAAATCACCCATTCACTACAAGTGTCAATGTCCTACAAAGCTTTGAAAAAATTTCAGTACAAGAGGAGCTTTGAAAGATAACTATGGCAGAAATGTCATGCACATTAAAGGAACTTGAAAAAGGGGACAACTCCAGGAATGGACTGCATTCCACTAGAAATCCTTAAATATAGTAGTATTAAAAAAGTTGCACAGGAATTTAAATATTCTATCATTATCTCCAACTAAAAAAAGAAGGTTGACCAAGCAGAATATGGAAATCATCAGGTTATTTCTCTCTTGTCTATAACTGGAAAAACTTTTGTAGGAATTATTCTGAAATGCCCACAAATCATTGCAAATAACATTCTTCCAGGAAGTCAATTATTGATATGATATTCATGCTGCACCAACTGCAAGAAAAAGTTCTCAAACAACATCAAAGTTTCTATGCTGTCTTTGTTGACTTTACAAAGTAAAGTGAGAAACCTTGTGAAAGCTGTTGGGTTTATGAGGATGCCCTGACAAGCTGATGAAGATGACAAGTTTCCTTGATAACATGAAAGTATGAGTCTCTGTTAATGGTGAGAGAAGTGAAATCTTTCGGGTAAGTCATGGGCTAAAACAGTACTGTATCTTCACTCCAGTACTGTTCATAGTATTCCTCACTGCAGTTCTAAGATCAATAAAGGTAACATTTTCCTAAACTCCAATAACACTCACCTCCATTGATACTAGTTATTTCTCAATTTCCAGGGTTTCCACTCTTTGCCCATCTAAGTGTTGAAAACACTTGCTCCAGTCTTTTATACCCCATTCGATTGACCTTGGCAAATTCTAATTTGCAAAATTCACCACTAACTTCAATGCACCCTCTATCTAGGTACTGTATATAAGCACCTCATTCAGATAATGTAATCACTTTTTCTAGACATAAACCGGCTTTTAGTGGGGAGGTAGGGCGGGAGAGTGTCAGCAGATGCAAGCATTATTGGAAATACATCTTCAGTTTAGGAAAATGTTAACTTCCAAAACATACTTATCTTTGCTGACACTATAGCTAGAATCCCACACTGAGAAGGTGGAGGGGCCAGTGCAGGCATGAACTATAAAGAAAGTATCTGTATAGAACAGGAGTGTACCACAATAAAATAGTACAAAAGTGGGGGAACTACACTACATCCAGAACAGGTATGCTCTTCACTTGGAACTCCTATAGTAAAAGTGGAATAGAATATGAGTAATCATAAGAAACAAAGTGGACACTTTCTCCTCCACCTAAAGAAGTACAAATAGCAACACCCAAGGCTCGGAATGACAGGATCATGTATGCTGTACTCAACCAAAGGAACAGAGCTCATCTGGTCTGGAGTTATGAACATTCATCCTCACTCCCCAACCAAGAAGGCAAGGAGTATTCCACTTGCCCCTGGAATTATGGAGAGGACGTGGAACCTGTGCTCAATGAAGGACCTAGGATGGGACCACTTCACATTCAGGAATTATGAGGAGATACTGGACCTCCTTCTGTGAACAATATATGAAACCAACATTGATCAAAGAGAAGGGCCATGAACCCTCCAACTGGATAGCTTTGCATCAAATCTGAATTGGAATTACGAGTAGGCTCCTGTGGAGGCTGGGGCCACTCCTACTGACATCTGGGAAAAACATCCAGGGGCACAAGTAGGAGGGCCCTCAACTTTACCCTTTTCTACAAGAGTGGAGGAACACACTTCAACACTCTGGAGGAAAACCTCTGTCCACCACCCCAGCAAATGGAAACTAGGGGTGGTAAGGACTCCCAAGCTCCACTAGAAGATTCTGGGGGGGGGGGGTAATATGCATTGGGGAGTCCTGAGGAACAGTGCAATAAGTGAACTAAGTTCCCTACATTTTTAAAAGCAAACCAATCCTGATTTATTCCACCTGAAGATCAGCAGGGACAGGCAGGATCCCCTTTAGCTTTACTCATGACAGTCCATAATAATAAGGTAATAACATCCGGTAGATGCCTAGATGGTCTTATGGAATACTCCACTTAGGCAGAGCCTGTTGCAAACTGTAGTAATTATAGTGAATGTGGTTGCTAGTGCAGAATTGAAAAGAGAAAGCATACCTGCCTGGGAACACTCGCCACAGAGTGGGAAGCAGTGAAAAATAAAAGGACCCTGGAAACAAAAAGAGTATATAATTGAGGAAAATACTCACCTCCGTAAAATTCCAATTCGGTAATTGAAAAGGTCATTTGGGCTGAAAAATACAAAAGGATTTGAGTAGATGTGACAGTACTGGGGATTCAAAAAAACCTTCCAATATTCGGAATACCAAAAAATAGTGGATAAGGATGTCTTATATGAAGCCACCGTAGATGAAACAAACATCTGGGTGGAGAATGTCTGATTGAGGTTGTCTCAACAGAGACTGCCAAAGTGGAAGAGGTAGAGGTGGCCATTCCTGCAGATACTGAAGAAGTGGAAACCACGTTTGAGCTGGTCAGTATAGTGCAACCAAGAGAACTCAACAGGGAGTGGAATGAACATAGTCAGAATCCCAGGGCAATAGTAAAATCAGAGGAAAGGCATACAGATGTAAACATGCCAGTCTTGAATGCATCTACTGCCAATGCTTGAGGTATCAGAGACCAAACAACTGCAGTTGAGAAGTCCAACAAGTCGCAAAGGCATCGATCATTGGAGATCTGAACTGAGAGCAAATCCACCAAAAAACCTAATGATGTAGATTACATTCTATCAGAAGCATCTGGTTGGGTCGAGACAAGAGATCTGCAAGTAAGTTCATCACTCCTGGAGCATGACAAGGTAAAAGACTGGTACAAAGGGAATGAGCCCAGTAGAGAGGATCCAAGGTACGAAAACAAAGGTCTTGAGAATGTGTGCCTCCTTAACAAAAAATCTGAGATACCACCATGGAATTGATAGAAAGTATCATGAATATTTTTCTCTTCAAGAGAAAGACCTTGAACCATTGCTTGGTGTACTGCAAGGAATTCGAGAATGTTGCTATGGAGGATGGACTTGTCTTTCGTCCAAATACTCTGGAACTCCTGACTTAGAAGATAAGGTCCTTATCCCTGAAGAGATGTGATCATGAACAGATGGATCTCAAAATGAGGTGGTGGAATGGGTACTCCAATAATAGTGTGGTTCTGATCTAACCACCAATCGCAATCTACGATATTGCTCCTGAGTCATGAGATAGGATGATCCAAAGGATTAGAATGCATGATTCATTGGTCGTGCAGTGACCACAGAAGGGATTCATATTAAATTGTCCTAAGGGAAAGAGAGGCTTGAGAGATGCCTACATCCCCAAAAGAGAAGGAACCATCCACACAGTAGGAGAAGGAGACACAAGTAAAAGCATGACAGCTCTTCCAACAGAACAAAGAGAAGTTGGAATTTATACATGTATAAAAAAAAAGGCCAAAATCCCTAAAATGTGGCAATAAATTTTATCATCAGTCTCATAGTACTACTTTTTCACTTCTTATTGTACTTATTATTTAGACTTGGATATAATGTCTAAAATTAACACAAAAATTGACACTGATTTAGAAACAATTTTCAAACCATTTGTCTAAATTGACCTGTATTCATTTGCCACCTTCAGCATAAACTTCATCAATATGACCTTTACAAAATGCTTTATCAAATGGATCAAGGTAAGAGCTTTATTAACATCTGAATTACCATCTTCAAGATTCAAGACAACAACAACTTTTGCTTTTGAAGAAAAAGAAACAGGAAATGCTTTTTCTTTTTCTTTATGTCTAATTTTCTTTGTATTCCTTTTTGGAAGCTCTTTTCCTTGATAACTTTCTTTCCATGGATATCCCATCATGGTCACATCCAACTGACTGCATTTATTGCACTTTAAACTCTATTTGCAGCTGCAAGTAACAGGATGTGTAGGAATATTTTCGATGTTTACATTTGCTTTCTAAGCTTTAAAACTAGAAAGAGCACATACACACATAAAAAGAAAAAACAACTTGACTTTTACTAAGAAAATGGAAAATAACGAATGCTGAATAACCAGTATTTTGTCTTCACAGAATGGAAGCCATGATCCATAGCTACTGTTTTAGCATGTTTTAGAAAATTCAAAAATTTTTCAGATGTTGCATATTTCAGATTTATGAACAATCTTGGCTGGGTTAAGCCATGAATTTAGTGTTAAAATATAAAGTAATAATAAAAATAAACCTTACCTATAAGCCTCATCTGAAGATAGTCGCAGATAGTGCATGACATAGGCAATAGCAATTGTAGGTGAACGGGAAATACCAGCCAAACAATGCACTAGCACACAACCACTACCCTCTCGCACTTTGTCTATTAAAAAAAAATCCAGTTGATTATAGTGAAAAAAGTTACAAATAAAAGATATAATTCTAATCAACAACTGTCCTATTGATAAGTAAGACATTGCACCTGAAACTTTTTTAATCTCCCATACAAACAAAGTATAATGATTTGCTAACAAATAATTTGAGGCTAGCAAAGATCTGCAAAACATTTACAACCAAGTCAGTATGTTTATTACACTTTAAAATACAAGATTTCTAGAATAATACAAAAGAATTCTAATAGCAAGTCCACTTGTTTTGATCCTAACCTTAGTTAAGCTTTTAATAAGTATGGCCTATATTCAATAAAGAGATAAATTAACACTGTAACTTATGTAGGTTTTTTTGCTTTAGTTTAGTTAGAGCTAAACTTTATTGTACTTAATACTATCAATAAATAAACTTGTTATTCTATGACCTTATGATAGACCTTTTAGAAACATTGATAAGCTTTTAATATGTTGTTGTACAAAATATCTACTAAAGTATATTTACATTCACTGAAATGAAGTACATGCACATTTAAATAATAAGGTATACGTGCATTTTTAGAACAGATAAAAAACCGAGTATTATTATAATAGATGCGTCTGCTTTTGTTTTTCAGTGAGAAAGTTCACTAAATCTTAAACTTCTACCACACTAAAAGTACTTCATTATCAGTATTGATAAATATTATTTTAAAGGTATAAAATTATTTATATTTTCTTTTTTCCTCTTCAGTGTTTAGGCTATTAGAAATAAGGTTATGAAGCAATTATCCTACCTCTAGAAACTTAATGAATGGTTAGAGAACTATCAATTTTACAAATACTGAAAACAGAAAGCCCCTTTTTCTGTAATCTGCACAACAGATATCTTTCCATTGTGTATAATAATGTTCATGTGAGCTTGCTACTAAGAATATTCTTTTCAAAACATACTGTTCCTATAACAATCAAAGTGACCATTTAATTGTGAGAGTTCAATATTGTTAGATGTCTATTGCCCATTCTTATAAGCTGTTTCTAGTACTTACCTAAGAACTGGAAAGCTTTAGGAAAGAATGGCAAGAGCTTCTCACTGTAGTTATCATTGACAGAAATCCTCATGAAATGTGTGTCTTGGATAAAGTCTGGCTTCGGACAGTTGGCACTGACATTCAACTCATATGTGATGTTATGATTCTGGGAAAATTAAACATTCAAATATAAAATATGGCAAATATGAAGGTTTACTTCGACAGTATTCACAAAAGTTATTAATTGTTCTTAGAGTTGTTCAAAAACTTTTATACCCCCCCTAACAAAAACACATACACACATCAAGTCTTGTGCTTGTAATCTGAGGAATCTCATAGGAAGCTATAATACTGAAGAGTGTTAATTAAGCTACAGCTCAAATATTATCCTATAAGGTACAAAAGCATGCATTTCTGTTACAATGATTAAGAATGTTGAATAACTTGGTTGAGTTCATTTTGGAATTGTATTATACAAGTAAGGACACACAGATACATGCTGTTGAGAAAAGACAATAGCCACAAAAGTTATCAATGTCAACTGAGGACAAAATATAACAACAACAGAATTCAACAAGCATTACAATGCAATGCAATGAGCAGACTACTTCACAGCTCAAATATTATCCTATAAGGTACAAAAGCATGCAT